ATGTCTAAGCGATGGACCCTATCCTGAGAAGGTAAATCTCCGGCATTCATATAGCTCCCGTCTTCGAGATAGAAGTCCCCTGGGTTGACTTGTCCAAAGATTTCGTACTCATGGGGGTCTCTCTGGCCGTAATTGTTCATTGTGCCAACATATAACCTAACACTACTAAAAGTGTGAGGTACAAGCTGGTCAGCAATGTCCCTCCCTCCACGTGCCGCTTAGACGGGATGAAGCGACTAGGTAAAGAAACTAACAGCTGTGTAAGCTAGTATGACCGTGTGAGACGTCCTCAAAATCCGGGGAAAGAAGAATCTTGTCCCCGTCAGTCAATCTGTCGCAACGTCCTCGCGCATTAGTTCCACAACTTCCGTTTGTTACACACCTGGAATGGCTTGAAGGATGACAGCCTGAGTTCCAAAATGATCAGTCACAATTATGAATGGAGAGGGTGTGTAAATCGCTGATTGATCTTGTCGAAAAGACTCGGCGAACCGCTCAAAATGACACTGCGGTTGAATGCACATACCCGCATAGAGATGTAACAACAGGTCGGCCGGAGGAGTAATCAACACTGATGGTGTGTATACGACTGGAGTCTGGGCCTCTGGCTTTATTTCAGAAGAGTATGAAGGACTGAATGGAAGGATGGTAAAGCAGGGGGCAAGACTTACATGATATAGTCACAAATTACGAATGCCGACAAATGCCCTAACGATGGTTTCCTATTTCCATTTGTTATGCAAGGTAGCGCTGTTGGTTCAATAACACGACAAACAACTTGCGAAACAGAACATCAGATAATCGACTAACTTAAGGTACTGGTAGAAATGTTTGGTATGGTGTTGGGCATGGTGAGCATGAACTTGGTGAGACTGGCGTAGAAGCCAGGCGTAGAGATCCAATCTACATGTCAAATAGTACCTAAAGCCTGACACCAACCTCAGCACATTGTTCGCGCTTCCATCGACCAATGATCATGTTGAAGTGTGCATTAGAGCGGTCGGCCCCGGACATTAGCTGTCAACTAGCTTCTGGCCAAAACATCTGAAGCCAATCATAATGCTGATGGAGTCATGGGGTTTTCGGTGAGATGCGGCTTGGGGGCAGGCGAGGCAACCTCAAGTGTGGCCGGCAGACAAGCTAAGTGGTTGGAGGACACCGCACATCCAATGCTGGTGGTCTCATTCTGCATTTCGATGCATCAAACCGGCATGTTGCATCAAGAACCATGTGCGATTGGATGTTGTCCTCGACTGTATTTGACTCAATGCTTCCAACTACCTCTGCCTTTCTTTAGGCAACCGAGTGTCGGCGGAGTTCTGGCGGCTTAGGCTCCCATAAATGAAAACGCTTGAGCTTTCGACTCAACGATTTTGAGAGTCAATTTCACTAAACTTCTGAAGAGAATTACTCCGTGTTACAGAGTGGATCCTCCGTTGATTACCAGAACTTAGTACAGCCTAGGTACCGGGCCTGTCTACGATGGCAAGCAAGGAACTGATGTCGGGGAACCCGGCAGGTCCCCCTAGACAAAAACGTATGAGACTTCTCCTCATGACCCGAAAATAGGTTACTAATACTTTGATTCGAAAGGAACCGTGGCGGTAAATGGCATTGGTGTGATCGCTGTCAAACTGCGAGATAGGTTGGTTCGGTTGTACGAGGCTTTGGTCCTGCTATGTGGTCTTAATGAGGCCTGTAGAAGGATGCAGAATGGACAATATCGGCATGCTGCTGAAATGGGCGTGCCCGATGGCAGCTCTCGCACAATTCTGGAGTTCTTCATCAACAAAGTGGCTCAAGTCTATGATAACCGACCATTCGGGTCCACGATCACGTCCCTTGCCATCATTCAGAGGCCTGACAAGGTGCAATACATCTTTGCATCCAATCAGCGGAGCTCGGAAGATGCTCAATCTGCAGCCACGACCATCCAAACTCTCCTTGACAAAATGGGTTCACAGAATGGCGTCGACGTTGGAGACGATGATGGATCCCCATTCTTCCGCGAACTTCTTCGCGACATACTCCTATTTCACAAGCAGCGAGTTACTCTGTATAAGTCGCGACTCAACCAGCGGCTGAATCAATGCATCAATGAATTGAAGGCTAGGTCCTTGGACGCGGGTATGTTTTCCATTGACCAAGTCAACGGCGTCTGTGGTGTTCAACTATTTAACTTAGTAAATCATCAAACAGTTGCTTCTCTAGGGGTCCCTCTACTTGATGAGCTAGAATATCTCCGGGCTTTGACCAAGACGGAGGTGCCTTTGGATGACAGTGAAGGGTGTAAGTCTGGTCTAGGCTTCCCTTGATGTTCGGAAGAGTAATGCTAAACCGGCCCCTTATTGCAATGCAGTCGCTCGCAATGGTGAACATCTGATTTTAGCCGCAAACACCTTCCGCAAAAGTCCGATGTACGAATCGGTCGTTGAAAGAGCCCGGGAAGGACGCTTTAACGAGTCCGAACGCTGGTGTGAGCTACAGCACTTTATCGGACGGCTTTCTTCGTATCACGGTGCTGTTCGGGCTATCATATCTGGCCGCAGACGTCTCCACCCGGACCTGTTCGAAAATTTCGAAATAACATGGCTGCCGTCAAGTATACCCATGAATAATCCGATCGACACACTCCAAAGCCATATGGGTGTGAAGACGCAACAAAAGAGGCGTTCAGCGGACAATATTATCAGGAGAATGATGGCAAACTCGGCGGACCGTGATACGACTCTCGAACAGGCCAAAACTCTTCAGGTCTGTGGCTTGGATGAGTCCATCATTCACCAGTGCCAAAAGACGTCTTTCAAACCCATAGTTCATTGCGAAATTTTGTTATTGCATTATCTCGGTCGAGAATATGGCCGAAATCGCTATCATATCCCGTTCTTCGACGACGTCAGATATATAGGCTGCAGTAAACCAACCTGCCGGCTGTGCGAATATTACTTCGCTGCTCATAATACAGACATCCAAGTTCGGCCTGGACACAAGAATGTCTACTCAAATTGGACTATCCCAAATCTCTTTGCCAACGACTTGGCTGAAGCTAACGAGAGAGATGGCCTGCTCGACAAGGTCGTCAGCAAGATTAGAGAGGATGCACTTCGCGCCTTGAGAGAGAAGATATCCGATGGCAAGAGACATGACTCAAATACTCACTCTTCCTATCCAACACATCAGTCGCTGGAAGCCAATGTTCAGCCAAATATGGAGGGGCTAGCGTTCGCACTGGGAGACTTAACTATAGTTAATCCAGCCGACATGGACGATTTTAAATTTCCCTCAGAAGAAAACCGGGACATTTACGCAGAAGCAGAGGAAAGCGAGACAGATGAAGATGATTGGGCAGGCTATGACCTTGCTGAACATTCTGGCGGGGTGTCTCTCTAGAATGGAGCAAGGCGAGGTATATGACTACTTCGGTTCAAGTTGTTACTTATATAAGTAGATATACATTTCCCTGCCTTATCTTGTTGCGCATGCCTTACTATTGATTCATTTGCAAATGATGGTACTATGGTCAGTATGCTCAATAAATGCTAGGTAGTCGTCAAACTGTCAAATATGATCCACTCTTGCTGAGGCCTGGTGAGATCGCTGCCTGCTTCACACATGAAGCATTTTGAAGATGCCACATGGTTTCGGTCAATAGCTAGAGGTGTAACGCTAATATTTGCCTTGCCTCCCTAAGCACCGCCAGAAACGAACAATTCTCTTTGGTAACGTCTGCTACGGTCGTTTAGCCCATTTCTCATTGTAATCGTATGAGCTGACGCGTGTGAACCTCCGTTGCCCAAAGCCAATGAAGCAAATATCTTTAGTAGAAGATTAAAGTAATCTGAGATGTCTGTAAGAGTGAGTGTAGATGAGCGTTCATGTGCCCTGGATCGAAAGATCGCAAAGGCTCTCTTAACTTCCTTCTAAGGGCATGACCCAAAGCAAAACTGGCTCAGACTCACAACAATTTGCTGGTAGGGGAGGTAGCATCATATAACCCTGCGTAGCTCGGTCTCGGTTCTGAGGTAGTCAAACGGCGTTGAAAACGCTGGAAATCGAACAACTCTCATCCTTACCTCCCGGAGCCGGTCACCAATCCCTTGCTACAGCGGGTCATCATACCAGTGACTTTCTCTCTCCATTCGGAGCCGGCTTTCCATCAACGGCCGTCGCAAGTCGGCAGTAATCTCCTCTCCGATCAGAAGATCTCAACTTCAGCCTCATGGTATGTTCAGGGAAGCACGTTCCATAAACTTCGGCAGCCCGCCCGGCTGGTCATGCAAACCATCGATGACCTAGCTAGGCTTCCCTCAAGAGAAGCCACTCTACTGATCGCGCTCGCCATCACCGTCTTTATTTGCTCTAAGCCGTATGAAGAAATCGCACAGACTTCCCTCTCCAAGTAAGCCCTCAGACTCTCCTGCCAGTTCCCCGAATTGGCAGGCTGTCAAGGCAAATGTGACCCGCGACGGCGTTTCATCCCATCTACGACGTTGATCGGAGCTCCGTGATTCCCTCAAATGGGAGTTTCTCATGGCCAGAACCTGACCCGGGCGTTTGGATCAGCTCCAGATGGTTTGATGTGGGCCTTGTTCGTATGACGGGATCTTCGCGATTGTCTACCTGCAGAGGACGAATGCCGCAGCGTCGCAAGATCCGAAGCGCTCTCAGCAAGCTCTACCAGATACGTCCACTCCAATCGGCTGCCGGCAAGAACCGGATCTTTGGGAAGTCGTCCGGCGTGGAAAACATCCCAACATTTCAAACGTTTGTTGCATTTTCATAAAAGACCTTGATGCCCCTGGTAGATGTATACGTGAACCAAGTGACTTGTTAATCCGGTCTGGCACCTGTCCATCTCTTCTCTTTGATTCCGATCTCGTTTCACTCATTTCTCCTCCCTCTATCTCTCTCGCTCTGGTCAGCGAAGGTCGTGAGGATGAGGGCCTTTTTTATTGTGGGCTCATTGGCGCTCAGCACTGTGGCTGGGGCGCCAGCAAATGATGTCCAAAAGAGAGACCTCCAAACTATTCAGGGGGCGTTCGTATCCATTTCAGTGGCATCATCGAATTTGGATACAGCCATTAGAGTAAGTTAACTTCGAGAAATGGGCACTGAACTATTTACACATTGACAATTGAGGAGTCCAATCACTAACACGATATCAGGCTCTGACACCCGACCCCAACAGCGCTTCTGCTCTCGGCCCGGCGATGATGGGACTCGAGGGCGCACTTGCACAAGCCCGTACTGATGTTGCACCGACCTCGCCGATTGGAATCTCTGACGGTATCGCTCTCCAGAACGCCGCCGATACTTTGACGAAGAGCGTGAAGATTATGGTCATGTCGGCAATGCTCCAGCGTCAGACGCTCGATCAGATAAACATGACCCCGATGCTTCTCCAATCCTTCATGAATCAGAACATGTTGTCGGCTGCACTTGGCCAAGTCGTTCTTTCCAAGCTTCCTGCGGAGGGTCTCCAAAGCGCCATGGCTGCGTTTGCCGGAGCTGGTGGCTCGGTTGGAATGGGGATTGTGTCGCTCGCCAATCCTCCTTTGGCTATGCCTCCTGGTATGGGCCCTCCCATGGGCGGCGCACCCCCAGCAGCTATGCCAGCCACTGGAGCTCCTCAGACGAGTTCACCGCAAACAGGTTCCCCAGGAAATTCCTCCCAGTCTGGTCAGAGGGGCTCTCCTCAGATGGGCCAACCTCAAACCGGGTCTCCGCAGACGAGCCAGCCTCAAACTAGCACACCCCAAACTGGATCGCAGCCTGCGAGCGGTAATCAGGGACAGGCGGGTAGCGCAGCGAGTAGCGTGTCTGTGAGCCAGGCTCTGGAGGGGAACGTTGTGGCGCTTTCCTGAACACGACCTACTAGTAACTGAAATGGTGTGAAGCATCGTTCAGCGCACGATGTAACCTGTCAGAGTTGGGAAGAGGATTGGTGTGGGACGAGATCAAGTATCAGGTACTATTGCGCAATTCAGCAAAGTCACTCATTTTTTGTTCCTTCACGAATCAACTTGCATCGTGAATCTATTGTTAATTATTAGAGACTCGCATAGCATAACATATTCATCTATAAAAAACACCTGATCTGGCTGGACTAGACGCGCTGTAATAGTTCACGTGTAAATAACTGGTGTTCACTTGTGATCCCGAGGCCTTGGCTTTCAAAGAATTGCTTTGGATGTAATGAAAACGCAAAGTCTCGCGAGCGAGCCAAAGGTAGTATTCATGTTAGTTTTGGATTGAGTGACATACACATAAATATTTCAGTTGTTTACCAACTGTGTTCACCACCGCCAAAGTCTTCAGGTTTCGCCAGTATCTTCGACTCTTGTGTCGAAGATGTCGAAATAAGTCTAAATGTTGAAGTTAAGAGAATGTTCCTATCGCCAATCGAGTATGATACCCTGTCTCAATCAATCGAACTTCACCATGTTGTAGAAGACTGAGCCCCTCGATTCTATGCCTTCCGGTAATCTGTGGCCAGAAGTGGTAATTGGTCTCATTGGACGAAAGCAAGTCTATTTTCGCACCTAACATGAACCCGGTCTGTACTTAAATAAGAATATCGTTTCTTGTGTTTCTCTCTCCGCCTAGCCCTGGGGAATATCCGAAACGCCGTCGGCCGTCTAATAACAGTGCTGCCCACACCAGTGGTAAAATTTCAACCTCAAAAACAAACAAGCAACAAACCCCTATTTGGGATATATATCTCCGCTACTGTGGCAAAGCCGATTCGGCAGCAACAAGCAATACGGTCAATCGGAAAAGCTGGTCTGTAACAATGGAGACTGACGTTGGCGATGGTGATAGCGTCGAGGTAATGAAGGAGGAGCTTAAGGGTGGTCCAGTCACAGATGTAACACCAGATGAGGCAGAAACGTCTGTCGGAATAGTTAACGATGGAGTTTCGGATAGGGAAGACAGCGTAACGGTGGATGTCGCCAAGGTTGCGTCTGGTGCCGAATTGTCTGTAGCGGTCGCTGCATTCTTGGTCGACGCCGAGGTTGTTGATGACAATATACTTAGCAAATCCGTTGCGACGGATATGGAAGTGAGGTCCGAGATCGGGGTAGAGCTCAAAGAACTCGCTCTTTGGCTTGATTGGATGGAAGGAGGTCCGAACATCGTGCTTGTGACCAACTCCGAAGACGGTGCTTGCGTGATTGACGAGGCTGAATTTGAGACGGAATTGACATTGCTTGTCAACGAGTTTGAAGTCGATGCTGAGGTTGACGTAGAACTCGTATTCGTAAATGAACTAGTCAGAGTGACTGTCTGACCGGTTGAAGATGGAAATATAGAAGAACTGCTAGTAGGCTCTGCGCTTCCAGAGGGCGCAACAGTCGTACCAGCGAGAGATGTTGTACTCAAAGAAAAGGTGCTGTCCGTTAATGAAGTACCGCTACTTGACAGTAGACTTGTCAGAAGATCCGAGAATGTGCCGCTCGAATTGGATGCCGAAAGCGTTGTTAAGTCAGAAGAAGTCAATGTCACGAGCGTGCCTGTACTTGAGAGCAGTTCAGTCGTCGAGCTGCTGCTCAATGTCGGGATGTCTGTGGATGATAGAGAGGTCGTCGATAAAACAGACGTCACTGAAAGGGAGCTTGTGGATGATAGAGAGCTCACGGATGAGACAGAACTGATTGAAGATAAGGAAGAGGTCGGTAGTGTCGAACTTGAACTTGTAGGATACGCCGAGGAGTTCGTAAAGCTCGTTGAGAGAGCAGTCGTGGAAATTGAGCTGCTATCAAGGAGTGTCGTTGAAAAGGTGGAAGTCGTTGAGCTTATATCTGAAGAAGAGATTGAAGAAGAAAACGAGTTTGTCGGAACAGTGAACGTCGTGGGTTCGGTACTTGACGTAGTGGTTTCGGACGCAAACGTAGATGATGTGAGAGAAAATGAAGAACTTAAGGAGATAGTTGTATTTGCGAATGGCCCACCGGTTGATGTTGAAGAGAGCTGTGCGCTGCTGCTGACTTCGATGTTGGTGTTCGTGAGAGGCGAGGTTGTGATGGACTCGGAAGAAGTGAAAGATGACGTCGGAGTCGCGGTCGACGACAAGGTCAACAAAGAGCTTGATGAGCTTGAAGGAGAGGTTGAAGTCGATAAGGAAATTGACGTTGTCGAGAAGAAGGTGGGCTCGGATGAGGTAGATGATGAAAAGGATGGTAAGGATGAAGTTGATGATGAAGTCGATAAGATTGAAGAGGAAGTTGAGGGTGTGTCTGTTATGGACTCTGAGCTCAATGAAAATACTGTAGAAGAGTCCGGAGACGAGGTCGAGGACAAAGTCAAAGTTGATGCCGAATCAGAAGCTGAAGAGGATACTGATAGGGAAGTTGAGGAAGAACTCGAGGAGGAGGTTAAGGATGTATCTGTTGTAAACTCTGAGCTCGTCGGGGAAATTGAAGAAGTTTCCGAAGACGAGACAGACGATAAAGTCAAGATTGAGGTTGTATCAAAGGCAGAAGCGGATGTTGAAAGGGAAGTTAAAGAGGATGTCGTGAAGGAGGTTGAGTATGTGTCTGTGGTAGACTCTAACGTTGATGAAATAGTCGAAGAAGAAGTCGGAGTGGTTGAAGACGAGTTCAAGAAGAAGCTGAAGGACGAAGATTCAACGCTGGACTCTGAATCCGAAGATGTCGTCGACGACGTGCTTGACTCAGTCGATTCCGTAGTAGTCGGAGCAGGTGGAACCTCCCGGAAGCCATAATACATGCTGTAGTGGTCTAGCCCATCTGCAAAGCCACCACAGCGAGCATTGTTATTCCCGCTGCAGCGTATATTGCATGCCGACTCGGGGTCATAAAAGCCATTCGGGTAATTGATGCCTGCGCGGCTGCACAGACACGTTGTTCCCATCAAACCAGCGAATCTGCGTATTAAGGCTGAGCATTGGGTTTGACAGCTTTCGGGCTCCACGCCAGCGTCGCTTCGAATCATTTCAAACTGGTTCATGTCTGAGATGATGTAACATCCCAAGTATGCCATAACGCCAGAGACTGGGAGGTTCACTTGGGCGTAAGCCAGTCTCGCTAGAAGCGACAATGTGAAAATGCATATCGTAGTTGACTGCATTGAAAGTCAAAATTAAAAGAATGAGTGTAGACCGGTGAACTTAATCTGGATTTCTCAAAGACACCCAAAAAGCTGAAGAACTAGGAGAGATAGCTGAAGGTAAAGGACATGAAGTGAGAGTGAGAGGCAGTGATTTGAATACAACAGCAGACGTGTTAGTCCCCTTCAGGCGCGTGAACGGCTGCATACTTTAAGACTCCTGCTCTGATCTTGTTCCCTATCCTCATCCCCATCCGCATCACCATCGCCATCCCTTATCCCTTTTCTTATAAAACCCGTTGAGAACTCGTGATGAAACATGGCCTGAGCTACCTTGAACCGGAGGCGCAGGGCGGTGGCTCACGAAGAGCCTCATCACCACCAGTCCATGACGATGAGACGAAGATTGGAGAGCAAACATTGGCTTCAGAAACTCTTGGAAGGGAGTAAGTCCGAGGCTGGGAGGTTTGTCGGCTATCCCCTAGATTCTTTTGACGGGAAGCGGACCGCTGTAAGACACAGCCCTAGCCACGGTGTAACGGATCGTGTCACCCACACCTCGCACAATATCAAATCCGATCAAGGGCCGGAAAAAGAAAAACTAGTCAGTCAAAAACTCGAGCAATCAAGATGAGCCGATGACCTTCCAGCCCGAAAAAAGGGACACTCGGTCACCCGACTTTCGCTCAAGAAAGTGTACTCCCGGCTCTGCACGCCCGGATATCAGTCGCGTGTGGCTTCCGAGACAGCATCTACCCTTCGAAATGCCTAAATACCAGTCACCAGCGCAAGCATGTATCTTTTAAGATGGGTCCTAGTCACCCGAGCCTGGACCGCAGTAGAAACGCAATCAAGTTTTCAAAGAGACGTTGAATACCATCTAGGCACTCAAGTTAGCTTGCTGGTCACATGACATCGCTGTCTCCATCGAATGTGATGTGTCGTATTAATGGTCTTAGATCCTCATCGCTGCTTGTACTACCAGTAAACCAGCTCGATGACCAGTCCAGATTCCCTCTTATGGGACTCTTGGTCCATGCACCCCGCAAACCCGGAGCTTCCGGGGGGCCTCGGCTAGCTTCCCGGCCGCCCACAGGCTCCATAGAAAAGGCTTTTTGCCCCGCACCGTGAGCTCTGATTATGGATTGAAGAATCAAAACTTAGGTTACGTCTGTATCAAGACGGGGTTCACTTCATCCACAACAAATACGGAAAAGTTCTTTGAGCAGTCGGCAATGAGAGTATGGAGAGACCTCGGCGAACATTAAGGGACCGTGCGAACGTTGTATGTGTCGAATGTCACTCACGCAAAGTAAGCTGCTGCCTAGCTAAAGTATCTATATCTCTACTTTGACGTGGAGCTGAGATAACACGAAGCACTTAGGTAAAATGCGACTTACAGGTAAGCCAAGACAAGACGTGTCGAAACTGTCGACGTGCTCAAGTTCCCTGCGTGTACGTTCGCTCCTTCATGGCATGCTCTTGCAACAGAGGTTCTGACAATCGTTAATAAGTCTCCGTAATGGTGTCCGGAAGAGGCGCCCGCGGGGCACTGATGTGGGCGAGGCTGACATCGGAACGCCATCTATTTCGTTGCCGGTGCCAAACCAGATGACCAGCCCGAGAGACAGTCCAAGGGGAGAGCCAGTCAGCAAACTGTCAGAGACTCGCAGCAGTCTCCAGCGAGATGTTGCGTGGAGACCTAGCAGCTTTATTGACAAAGGCTCCATCATGCACGACCCAGTCAAGACACCACCCACTATCGTGCTAGACAATCTTGCCACTGGAAACGTTGGCGTAAACGAGGCGATTCTAAGAGTTACAGGGGCCAGTATTCTTCCGCCACCCGTACTCCTACAGGCTCTGAAGGACTCCTTTTTCGAACACGTTGTATTGTACTACTCCATGGTCGATCCCGGTGATGTTGCCGGCCCAAATGCATCGGTGCTTCTCCAGCAGGCAGTCTGCTTAGCAGGTAGTCTAATGCGACACGGAGAGGACAGCGTCGATCTCGCGGCTTCGCAATACGAGAAAGCCAAAACGCTGGTTCACATCGGCTTCGAGCCTGACCAGCTGACGGTGCTGAAATCTCTGTGTCTGATGTCATGCTGGAGCGCGTCTTCCCCCTATCTTGTCACGCTAGATGGACCATGGCACTGGACAGGCATGGCTTCGCGAATGGCGCTTCAACTTGGTCTTCAGAAACAGTCATCATATTCCAATCGCCAGGGTGCTGGTTGCTTGCGGCGAATATTCTGGCACCTTCAGGTGAGTATCATGAATTCACTCTTCCTCCAACCCCGGCCTAGAAAGTTGCTTCTCAACGAATGTTGAATATCTGACTCGAACCAGACGAGTGAAATTCTCATGACAGCCTGCTGGGGCCGACCTCTTCTCCTCAGACCGGAAGACACTGATGTACCTCCGCTCTCAGAGGAAGACTTTCCGGTGCAGAATTTCGACGCAATTGCTACAACTTGGATGACGAAGCTCGTTCAGATCGTTGGGGTCATCACCACCCTGAAATTCAGAAAAGGTGGCCCAACATCGGCAGAAGCCGAGGCCGTCGTCACATCCCTCTACGGTTGGCTGGCTGACTTGCCCGAAGACTTGCGGCTGTTCAACCCCAGCGGGACCAGAAAGCCATTCAATCAGCAACGCGCGGAGACTTTCATCTTCTACTTCGTCGCTATCATCCTGACCCAGACAATCAGCAGAAGTACTTCGCCGACGTGGAGAACTTCACCGGCGTCGGTCCTTGCTGCATCCTGTGCTGCTCGGCTTTATGACGAAATCCTATGCAGAGAGAGAGTTGTACACCTGATACATTACCACGCCTTCCTTGTATTAGCCGTCGGCGTCGTCTTAATGTCTCATCAGCCTCAATCTCAAGAGAAAGAGACGGTACTCCGCAAAGATCTTGATGTTATACGTCGCATTCTTGAGGGTATGAGCGCTAAGTATGGAGGGGCTCGCGCTATTTTGCAAAAGTTTAAAGACGCGCCACGAGACTTTGGAGGTGAGCGAGTTGATGAGTCGTCATGCTCGAGAAGCGAGACAGCAGGCTCCCATGCTTCATCAACCGCAAAAATTGTGCAGCACCATATGGGCGACCTGTTCGCTTTCCCATCAGAAATGTGCGAGAACATGGATATACTATCGCAGAATAACGACGCAAGAGACGAAATCGCCTTCCAAGACGACGCTTTTGGAAATTTTGGGCAAATGGGAGAGGATTTTGAGGACATTACCTCGTTCATGGATGTACTTGGTATGGACTTCACAAATTTCGATGGCGCCAATGGTTAAGGCACTGGCTTTCACATGCCACCGAACACCGGGCACCACTATGTAGTATAATATTAGTCAATCCGGGGTTTTTCTCGATATTGATGAACGTTTCCCCGATGCGTGGTTCGGCATGAGTTTACCGACCTCAGCGCCGTGTTCCCCGAAGGCTGATTCTGCGCTTTCGGCAATTCGGCACTCGGCACTGCACCATCCGCTCTTGTTGTTCGGTTTCCGGGTAGCAATAGAAGAAGATTTGAATCAGATGATGTACTATTTAAGAACTAGTCCCGCTTTCGATCTCGATGTAAATAGAGCAGCTGGCAGAGATTGCTCCCGGCAGATCGAATTGAAGATTGAAGGTGGAAGATTTTCTACTTCCTTTACAATTGCATACTTCAGACCACACATTAGCTTTGAAAGAACTATCACGAATTCAAGACCCCAAACAAATCATGTCTGAACCAAGTGAAAAGCTGGTACAGGGTGCCCAAATGGCTCAAGCTTTCTTGGGGGCCAAACTTCTTAACGCCATTCAAGAACAAGCAGTAGGTAAACCACAACACAACAGCACCGTGAAGGGGTTAAAGCTAAGACAAGAATGAAAGCGCGACGATCTCCCAAGCAAAGTCAGTGCCGAATACATTGCCGAAGTCTGCTTCTCCAGTTATGCTCGCTCCGGACTTGAGTTCAAGGAGAGGTCTTTAGTCAACATTGGCATGATGATAGCGCTCAACAGAACCCCAGAATTGCGCATACATATCGCGGCAGCACTCAACCTTGGTATTTCGGAGGAGAAGATCGTAGAAACTTGCCGACATGCGATGATATACTGCGGTGTTCCGGCTGGTAGAGAAGCTTTGGCTGTTGCAAGCGATATCTTCGCCAAAGTCAAGGGTACCACCAAGGAACAAAGAGCAAAGATGTCTTGATTGTGACATACAAACATGCGCTGCATGGCAGCATATTCTTCAAACTTTCATCTGATGGCAGGGACACTTAGCGGAGATTCATTGAATGCAAGACTTGAAAGGGAAATACTGACGGATGCTCGTGCTCGGGGTGCCGTTGCACATGTCTAGTAGTCAACCAACCAAAGATATCATCGTTTCGCCACTCCAAAGGTGGCACAATAACCTGCTCTAACATGCCTCTAAATTAAGCGCCGGCTCAAATGAAGGAAACGTTTTTTGTACCTGGACCGCTCACCGGCCAACAGCATGTGGCCTACCTTACCACATCCCAAACCCAACATGGGCATGTATCGGACACACAGATTCTAGAGACCCACCAATGCACCTGATGAAGGGCGAACAAGTGCCGGTCATCGAGCGCCAGGAGGACTTTCTCTTCAGCTAGGTGGAAGAATTGAAACTCGCCAAGTCTGAATGTAGACACCTACACAGTAAGACGATTGATAGGCCGTCTCATCACTCGTTACGCTCAAAGCTCGTTCATTCTTTCGCCCGCTATCTGCTTGGGTGACCAGTTTAGAATACATAGAAAGTTACCTTAGTATGACGAAGCAAAGATAGAGAGCATAGTACGTGCTGACTTGTCGTCTGTCAACTATCGAGTGGTACCTTACAGTGTTAGGATTATGAATTCGACAGTTCCTTTGTAGATGCTCCAGGGTGTCCTGACGGCCTCAGAGATTGCACGTCTAGTTGAGTCGGTTTTATGGATGAGTTATACGAGTTCGTAGATTTGCAGGCCTTCAGGTGCACTTGCGTGGCTTCGAGACCTTATGTTTGCCGAATCCCGCAAATGATTGACGCTAATTTCGTGCAGTTTCGAATTGCCGAGCGCCGGCTACCGAGTACCGAAAGCCCATCACCGTCTGCCGACACTGTACGCTCTCTACAGTTGAGTGGAACAACTGTACCTTCGATGACGCACGCTTGGAGGAAAATATGGGAACGACACTGTGCCAGGGCTTAAATGGTTGTGAAATCAGCTGCTGGCCATAAAGACTACCTGACTACTTAGACTGTGTCTACTGAGCATGCTGAGCTACCAGAGCCGAACCCGAGATGCCTACTGGCAAGCAAGGTAGGACCGGATGTTGATGTGATCAAGTAAATACATGCATATGACATGAGGGCATTACCTGTGCGTATAAGAGACCGAGATTCAGTCTATCTAGTGCTTTCCCATTTGTTGGAAGCGGCGCACATGTTCCTTACTTCATCCATGTTGGGTCTTTAGAGTTAAACAAGCGCTCTCCTTATCCCCGCATCTTTTGTTGACCTAATTTCAAAATGGCGTCCTCACGCGTTACCCAAATCGGCAATCACCTTGGACTGAGGAACTCACAAATACCAGATCCCCACCCTGCTGAACCATACACAGTCGTCGAACAACCCCTCGGAACAGCCAAAAAAGTCCGCATTATTACAATCGGCAGCGGCGCAAGCGGCCTCAACATGATCCGCACTTTTCGTCAGAAACTCACAAACTTCGAACACATCGTCTACGAAAAGAACCCAGAAGTCGGAGGCACATGGTACGAAAACCGCTATCCGGGATGCAAGTGCGATATACCCTCGCACAACTACCAATTCTCCTGGAAGCCGAACAAGGAGTGGAGCAACTTTCTGTCTCCGGCGGAAGAGATTCAGGCGTACTTGTGCCGATTGTGTGACGATGAGGACCTACGGCGCCAGATCAAGACTAATCATCTCGTGACGGGAGCATTGTGGGATGAAGGTGCTGGGCGATGGACGGTCAGGGTGAAGAATTTGGAGGATGATGTGGAGTTTGAGGATTATTGCGAGTTTTTGCTGAACGCGAGTGGAATTCTGAAGTATGAAAACGCGCCGTCAATTCTGATCAAGTTTGGTTTGGGTATCCTTGCTAATCATGCTAAGCTTGCTACAGCAACTGGAAGTGGCCTGATATCCCCGGTTTGCACGACTTTTCTGGTTCCCTCCTTCATAGCGCCGACTGGGATGAGAATTTTGACTGGAAAGGGAAAAGGGTAGCAGTTATAGGCAACGGCTCATCTGGAGTTCAGATCGTTCCAGCTGTACAAAAAGGTGAGTACTGGAAGATTTCGGCTGCATACTTGTCATCAAAACATTGACACCTTAGACAAAGACGCGAAGGAAATGATTCATTTTATTCGGGGACCAACTTGGATTATGCCACCTCGGGTCCAGACTTTGTTACTAGGAAAGGCAAAGCAAACGATGGAACGAATCGAATTGGATGATGACGAGAACTTCACACCGGCTCAGATCGAGAAGTTCAAGGCAGACCCTGTGCTCTACAAGTCTTTCGTGAAGGCCATAGAGGAGCAGGTTAACAATAACTTCTTCCTAGTTGGTGAACCCATCTTCAACTCTCTGAATTGTCCACTAACTGTGAGGTTCTAGGTCTTGAAAGACTCGGAAACTCACCGACAAGTCACACAAGGAGTCACTCAATACATGCAATCCGCACTCAACAATGAACAGAGACTGATCGATATCCTGATCCCCAAGTTTCCTATCAGTTGTCGTCGGATGACACCAGGGGTCGGGTACCTAGAGTCGCTGACGAAACCCAATGCGAGGGTCATCTCGGGAGGAATCGCTCGAATAGTCTCGGATGGCCTGATCACAGAATCCGGGGAACATATTGCGGTTGATGCTATCGTGTGCGCCACTGGATTCGATGTCTCATTTTGCCCGCGATTCCCCATCATTGGACGACAATCTACAAATCTTCAGGATATCTGGGTCAAGGATATACCGAAAGCCTACATGTCGTGCGCGGTTCCAGAGATACCCAACTACTTTGGTGAGTTGATGCTATGACTGTTATGGTTGTGCCATTGTGTACTCTCACTCTGCTAACAGATAATCCAGTCTTTCTCGGCCCTAACGCCCCAATTGGCCACGGCAGTGTCTTCACAATAACCGAGCTCCTCGCAAAATACATTGCCGGCATCATCAAAAAATGCCAAACTGAGGGCATCAAATCCATCAGCCCCAGCCTCGATGCAGTCAACGAACTACACGAACACACGCAAGCCTTCATGCCGCGAACAGCGTGGGCTGGATCCTGTAGATCCTGGTTCAAAGGTGGTGCTGTGGACGGACCTGTCACGGCGCTGCACCCCGGGAGTAGAATTCACTTTTTCCACATGTTGGAGAACTTTAGAGGTGAGGATTGGGACTATGTGTATGAGAAGAAAGGGAATCGATTTGCGTATCTTGGCAACGGGCTGTCGACGAAGGAGTTGGATGGGTCTGATTCAACTTGGTACTTGAATGATCCTGACGGCGATCAGGAGTGAGTTGATATGAGTAAGAATCTTGGCGATGCGTGTACATCAGTTGTGCTTCATTCTTCCCTTGATCTTCTACATTTCAAGTGTTGCCTACAATGTAAAAAGCCGTGACAAAACATGGAATTGCATGAATTAGAAGCCCCTACTACAATTGCAATGCTTCTCGATATGAGTACTTACCATTGTCAAGAATTGTTCGCGGAAACCTTGTTTCGCTAGTTGATCCATCTTGGCTTAGAACCGGGATTGAATGTGGCGCCAACCGGCATTCGGTACATGTGGGATCTCGGCACACAAAGGTGCAGACCATCCAGCTTACGAATCGAAAGCTTCAAATCTCAAAGTCAAACAACAAGAAAAACATCTTGAATAAAATCCTAACGGCCCACGGCTCGATCGTTGCTTTCGAAAATATTTTGCACATCAATCCTGTCAATCACATCCAACACAACCTTCAACATGGGTGCAGACGCACAAAAAAGGGTCAGCCTGACCTTCCTCTCAACCGGTTCAGTCCGCATCAAACTCCCCATGAAAAGCCAGCCCGTAAAATCCTACCTCGACCAATTCGTCACCCTGCGCCGCTTCCGCTGCATCGCAAACCGCCAATGGACGGAACCCCTCCCCATCGGCGTCTTCCTCATCGCCCACCCAGACGGGCCAATCCTCTTCGACACGGGCGAGTCCCCCTGCTTCAACGACCCGGGCTACCTCCCCTACCTATCCCCGACAAAGATGTTCAGCAGTGTAGACATCAAGCCCGAAGACGGCATTGTTCAGCAATTGCAGCGTCTCGGTGTGGAACCGAGGGATCTGCAGGCCATCGTACTGAGTCACCTCCACGGCGACCACGCGGGCGGATTGAAGGCACTGAAGACTGCTGCGCCGGATGTCCCTGTGTTTGTGAGCAAGGAGCACTGGGCCGCGTTCGGAAATAGCCCCATGACCGCGACGCTTGCGGGATGCGTGCCGCAGCACTGGCCGGAAGGATTCCAGCCTACTCTTGTGGATTTTTCGGCCGGCGCCGTGGGGCCGTGGGAGACGTCTGGCCGGATCACGGCTGATGGGAAGATTGTGGCGGTGCATACACCTGGCCACGTCCCCGGCCACATTTCGCTCGTCGTGTATGGCGATAACGAGGACGGAACAACGTCGACGTACTGCTTGCTTGGGGACGCGAGCTATGGTATCGATTTGCTGGATAAGGAGGAGCCGGATGGTATTAATGACGACCCCATGTCGGCGCTGGACAGCTTGCGGAAGATCAAGGCGTTTGCGAAACAGAGTGATGTGATTGTTCTTCCTAGCCACGATCCGGATACACCGCGCTTGCTGAAGGAGCGGGTGCTGTACAAGCCACAGGATATTTGAAGGTCGGAGGAGAACGGGTGCGAAGCACATTTAATACCTACCTAGCACGTATTTTTTCAATAGAGATTCACACTTCATAAAACCTTGGGACCGTTAGACGCGGATGATCCCAGAAACTGACCATTTGCTACACAGGAAATGCTTTTCAATTATTATTGTACAAGTCGTTATCTACCGAGGAGACTTAATGGGGTATCAGGTGCATGAATGCCGGAGACAAGTCCCTTATTTGGCGTCCTTCTTGGCCTTTTCGGCAATCTCCTCTGCCTTCTTCGACTTAGCCTCAAGAACCTTCTTCACTTCCTCAATGGTCTCCTTGAAAAGCTTCTCTCCCTCATCCTTGTGCTTATCTGCAACCTCGCGGAGTTGCTTCAGCTTGGGGATGATTTTGTCTCCGTCGGGGATCATCTTAAAGTACTGATCGAGACCAAAGCTCTCGCCGACTTGAGAGCCCTTTGACTTGGCCTTGTCGACGGCGTCGGTGACATAGCTCTCGAGGCCTCCGAGGTCTCCGGATTCGGTGGCCTTCTTCGCTTTCTCGAAGAGCTCCTTGGCGTTACCCTTCTTGAGCGCGTCGGCGTTCTTCTCAACCAGCTCCTTGACCTTGGGGTTCTTGTCAAGGTAAGGCTTGGCCTCCTCAAGTGCCTTCTTCCATGCCTCATCGCCAAGCTTCTGAACCTGCTGGATCTTCTCCTCAATGAGCTTGCGCACCTTGTCAAAATTGCTGGCAGTGAAGCCGCCTGCCAAGACGTCCTTGACTTGCTTCCATGTCTCGTCAACCTGCTTCTTCGCCTCGGGGCCGTACTTGTCACCCAAGTCCTTGAGCTGGTCAATATTTCCTCCGAGCTTCTCCTTCAATTGGGGGTGATTGTCAACAATGTCCCCGATGGCGTCACCTCCGAGGCTTGCGAGCTTCTGGGTGATGTCTGCGAGGACCTCGTATGCCTTGTGGACGGCCTCGAGGCTCAGGCCGGCTTTGGCGACCTCCTGGAATTGTTTGTAGGCGTCATCGACAATCTTGTCGGCCTCTTCCTTGTGGTTCTTGCGGACGGTCTCGAAGTCATTGAACGCAGAGTCGACGTAGGAGCGGCCGCCAGGGATCCAGCCGACGTAGGAGTAAGCGAATTGCTTGATGTAGTCGATGGCTTCATCGGTAGAGGGTGTGTTTTCTTGCAGCTTCTGAGCGGCGGCTGTGTACTTCTTCTCAGCCTCTTTGGCGGCCTTGTTGACCTTCGAGGCAGCGCGACCGGCGGGGGTGAAGGAGTAGAGGGCGTAGAAGATACCAGCACCAGCAAGGCCACCAGCGACACCGGCTCCGAAGTGAGAGCTGCTTCCGCCTGTTGACGATGAGGTTGTCGTCGACTGGAAACGGAGCTGCTGGCGGGGTGCGCGAACAGCCCGGGTAGCTCTGGGGAGCGTCGAGCGAACGAGGGGTCTTGCGGACATCATCTTGGTGGTCAGGTGAAAGGTGATATTACTGTAGCAAGTGTTATACAGGGAGAAGGGTGAACGAACGACCTCAAAGCTGTGGGAACTGGAGCAAGAGAGGTTGGAAGATGGTACCGTAAAAGTCGTAGGTCAATGGGGAAATCGGAAGAGAAGAGAGCACAAAGCAGATTTTGAAGGGACGAGAAAGAATTCTCAATTGCCTCCTCCCTCTCGCCTATGGCTAGCGTCGGACCGGCGACGGAGGACAAATAGGCAGGGGCGAAGCTCGTCACACGTGCTTCAAACGCAATTGGAGCCGAAATGACGACGGCCAGTGCAGCTGAAGACCAAGGCGAAGGAGCTCCTTCCGCCTGCCGGACTCACGCAGAACGTACCCCTGTCGCCCCTGCCATCTGCAAAGAGCTGAAAAGTGACATGGCAAGTGTCAATGGCCTGGGAAAGTGGAGGAGGAAGGAGGAGCCAGACCGGGCTGGAATGAAAGCTCCGGCGTCAATGACCAGGTAATGACGTCGAAGGCGTTCGTCGCCAGGGGCAGCTTCTTCCCCAATCAGGACAGCTACCCCGCACGAGGGGGCCCTGGATGTCCCCAAATGTGCGGGAGATCGGCGATCAATCGCTGTGGGGGAAGTTCTCCGCCAGCATGGGCCTTCCTCGTCATTGTGATGAACTGCTGAAGTCAATTCGGATCAAGGATCGAAATTTGTGTGAAGATGCGGTCAGGTTTTCCCGGTAATGAAGATATTCTTCCGTTGCTTTCTTTTTTCTTTTTTTTTTTCTTTGGTCCCCAAAAAGTCAAGTGTGCAGGAACCTCTCACCGAGGCCCAAAATTACTTGCTCCCGTTGTCTCCTCCAAGTAATTACAAGTTCGAGCGTGATCTTTGGATTGATCTTCCAGCTGCTGGATTAACGACACACCATCACTTGATGAGGCCCAAACACGCCTCGAGTGACGGTGAATGCTCAAGCATATCACGTTGGCTGTATAGGCCAGTGAAGGAAGGTCTCAGTAAGAGGTAAGTACCTTAAACGAGTGAGGCAGTAATGAAGAGGGAGAGGAAGAGGAGCTGGACGATTGAGAAACCTTACGGAGACAGTGCAAACATTGCAAATTTCAGAGTGAATTATTTTTAGACAAATTTGGTTTGCTAGTGAGACTTAACAGGTCCAGGAATAAGTGTTTGGGATACCTAACGCCCGAACTTTTGCCCCGGGCCAGCTACACCGAAAGTGGGGCACCCAGTGCCGGTGCACCACCCGGATAAGTGGGGTTGATGCCGGGGAATGAAGTTCTCGAGCTGCATGCGGAGCATTGACGGAGAGAATGGTATGTTTCTTAAGTACCTATTGAATTATAGATCTTGTGGACTCGATATAGGGAATCTAGTTGTAGTTCACCCTAATATGCCGTGGCAGAGAAATTCCGCAGTCCAGGTTGACTCCCCTTATCAAAGCATCTAGACACACCAACACAAGATATCTTTTTTTAGAACTATGTCACTCCATCGAGCGACTATCCCATTGAAACCTATGGCTCATAGAAGCGAGGGACTAGGGCCTGATACTTTCATGATTGATATCCTACTGTGCCCTCAAGCTCGTTGCATTGGCAGCCAGGTTCTTCTGGAAGAACTGGGTGAGCTTATCGAAGGGAATGAGCTCCACACGATCATAGAGATCAACGTGCCCCGCGCCAGGAATCCAAATGAGCTCCTTTGGCTCAGCAGCACGGGCGTAGGCGTCCTCGCTGAACTCGCGGGAGTGGGCCTGATCGCCCGAAACAAACAGCAAGGGGCGCGGTGAAATCGTCTCAATGTCGTTGAAGGGGTAAAGGTTCATGAACTTGGTGTTGCTGGAAAGAGTAGGGTGGGTAGTCAGGTTGGCCGTCGTGTTCTCTGGAGTGAACTCGCCGCGCTGGGTACGATAAAAGTCGTAGAATTCACGATCAACCGCCGTCGACGCGTTGGTTAGCTCGTGGGGGGTTCCGCCAGTGTACTCGACCTCGCCGCCGGCAGCCTCAACCCAGCGCTGCGCGGCAGCGGTAGCAATGAGTTCCTTGCGCTGCTCGAGGCTCACTGCGCGGCGCAAACCGTGGCGGGCGGCAGATCCCATGTCATACATGCTAGAGGTCGCGATGGCCTTGAGGCGGGGGTCAATCTTGGCAGCGCTGATGACGAAGCTGCCGCTGCCGCAGATGCCCAAACTACCGATACGCTCACGGTCGACAAAGTCTTGGAAGCCGAGGTAGTCGACTGCTGCGCTAAAGGCCTCTGAGTAGAGATCTGGAGAGACGGCGTTGCGTGGCTCGCCTTCGCTGCCGCCCCAGAAGGGGACGTCGATGGAGACGGTGACAAAGCCTTGCTCGGCAAGCTTTGTGGCGTAGAGATTGGCGCTCTGCTCCTTGGTTGCGCCCATGGGGTGACCGACGATGATGGCTGGGGAGGAGAGTGAGCGGCTGGCGTTGTTGCGGATGAAGAGGTTACCAGCGACGGTGAACTGGTTCTGAGTTGGGAAGGTGACTGGCTGCACCGTCACGATGTCGCTGCGGTAGAAGTTTTCGGCTCCGTAAGATAGGTTTTGAGCGGATGCTAACTTCGTGCCCACGAGGGCGACTGCGGCAGTGCTACTTCCAGAGACCTTCATGATGTTTGGTTAAGGTGTGTTGATGGGTAGTGATAATATCTTAGGATGAAGAAGGTATGATCTGGATGGAAATACATCTTGTTCAGGGCGATCTTTCTCTGATTTATAGCCAGTGTTGTGGAGATTGTTCTGTTGCGATCTACTAACGCCGGTCGAAGTTGATGTCATATTCGAATGAGGCAGTTCGGCATCCGAGAAGGCCGATATCATCAAAGTTCCACGCGTCAGCCCCAGAACCCAAGTCTTAAGGTCTCATTAAGTTAAGCATGATTGGTAATGCCGTGTGCGCCCGAGTAGAAAGTAATTGTGATATACCTAGAGGCCCCATTTTCCGCTGACATCGCCAGATGCTGCCAATGGTACCCCCTGGCCGTCGACTTACGACTTGGTCAGTAACTAACAGCGAGTATGCGCTAAGCTAGGATCGCCATCTCTAGAAACCTTCTCCTACAATGTTCTCTAGATTTAGCCACTCGACTGGTTTCCCACATTTCTAACTATAGACTCACTGCTGAGGAAGGCAGTTTCTCATACCTCGGACCATATACTTCATGCCCCATGGAAACATGCTCCTTTGCCATGATAACAAGAGAGAAACAAGTTCCGGTAGCCTAAGAGGCGAGGCTATTCTTTGGGTGCAATAGAGCCCTGCTAGGGGCGTGCCAAGTTGGCAATGCCGTCAGTGTCATCAAGCTGCATCAAATTTAAACTCAACATCCTTGCCGAACGGCAGGGTATCATAGCCAAGCTTAATGTCATCCAGCTGCATTAGCGTCGTTTGATTGTGGGGACTTGCTCAAAAGAGCACTGCCTCCTTACATGGTTACCTCTTATTCGATAATGGGTGAAGTTATCAACCATCTCCTGCTACCATCACCTGTTACCTTCCTTATATACCAATTGAGAGGTTTACCAAGTTTACAAGGGTACAATCACGTAACCTCAATCTTGATTGTCCAGGTTATATTATTGACGTGTCCAGTCTAGAGCGCGGACCTTCACTCCTTTCCGGCCCTTCTTGTGCGGACCTTAGTTTTCCAGATCCACCTTAGAACTTGTAGCAAACTCAGTCACAGAACAGTCTTTCACGATCTCCAACTCCTGGCACATAGGAGACATCTATTCTGAGTCGCTTATTACCCAATTTAGAGAAGCCAACAGGTCGATAAGTTATTTGGATGGTGGCGATGGTGACTCGTTGATTCGGCCAGCTCAATTGGCATCAGGACCTCATAACAAAGGCCTCAACTGAACCCTCTCGCACACCGACGAGGACGACTTTCCACAGGGCAGACAACTCATTGGACCGGTGAAATGAAAGCACTCATATAACTCCAAGTACATGTATCGATTACTCATCAATCATATGCTACATGTATGACAGGAAGACCACAAATGGAAGGCTGTTGTCAGAACTTCCAATATTCCCTCAACGCCCTGATCTCCGCTCCGTCGCCGGTACCTCCGCAATCACAGCGGAGGTGCATTCGGGTCCTCCATACACTGATCGATCCTCATAATCTGCTTACCGGTAGCCTTGGCCTGCCTGATAAATTCTGGGAAGTACTCGACTGTTGTGTTGTACGAGAAGTGCATAACCACCAAGTTGCCTCCCTTGGCAACGTCCGCCTTGAACGAATCCACTTGCTTCTCTGGCGTGCTCGTCTCGGCCCACAGCCAGTCCTGCACATCGACACTCCAGTTGATAAGGTACGCCTTGTCTGATCCGGACGCAGCGGCCCAGCGCTGACGCATTCGCGCACCTTCGACGCCGTACGGCGGGCGGAAGTAGTTCGATCTCTCCCCAAAGAGATTCGTCATCACCCTGTAATCTTCGTTGTACTCCCAGTCGATGCTCTCGGTGTCGGGTAGTCCTTCCATTCTCGGATGAGTGTAGGAGTGCAGTGCGATCTGGTGGCCCTCGCTCTTGAGCTGTTGGTAGAGGCTGGCCATGCCGGTGGAGGGGTTCTCGAGCACTGCGCCGACGGCAAAGAAGGTCACTTTGATCCCTGCGTCGCGGATGATTTGCGCTAGTCTGGCGGCATACTTTGGGTTTCCATCGTCGATGCCGAACGCGAAAGAGTTGGGCCGCGTGCAGGCAAAGACAAGGGTTCCTGAGGGCAGCTTTTGGGGGATGCTTACCCCTGAAGGGATGGAGGGCACGATCTCAATCTTCGTTAGGACCAAGGGCTCAGTACTGTAAATGCCCCTAATGGCAATACTGGCGACACGCTGGAGGTTGATGTTGAAGTGCGAGATGGGGATGTAGATGTCGCTGCTCGTAGTCGCGTACCGGCTTGCTTCTAGACTATCTCTTGTTTCAGGGTATGGTGCCACACCATCATTGCATTGTGAGTTATGCTGCTGCAATGAGACAGAGAACTTGGTATGACCCGAGTAGGTGATGTGTAAGTATGATCCACTTTGACTGCGCAAATCCCGACATCCCCCGCTCATTAGACTGGTGAAGGCGTAGTCTGGAGCCGAGGCAACGATTGTGACACGATTCGAACCCCAAGCAAGACCCAACTCATCGCCACCATGCCAGAACCCAAGAGAGTTCGTGTTTGCGTTGGCAAAGGTGTCAATCACAAGCCCAGAGGCCGTAGCAGCTGGTGCCGGGACGGTTTGAGTTGGTCCTGTTGGGGTGGTGGCCGTGGGCACTACCCAACCAGTCGGGGTGCTTCCGCAGTAGAGTGCCAGCGGGCCTAGTGTGATGGGGCGTGTCGGCGCTTCGAGAACGATAGATCGCAGTTTACTGAGGTTGACTCCGCTGAACTTTGACCAGGGGAAGCTGTAGAGCTTCTCGGTTCCGTCAAAGGTCCAGCCTAGTTGCGCAGTCGTCTGGGATGAATACGCAGTCACCTCGCCCTCACACGTCGTCTTGGAAGTCAACTCGATCTTGAATGTTGTTCCCGCCGGGGCATTGATCCGGAGTGAGATCCCACCATACTTCGAAGCATCCAAACATCCCACCTGAGTGAAGAAATATGATGAAGTGTCTTTAGGTGTCAGTGTTATGTGATGATTGCTAACAACTTTGGACTGCATTGTTCCGTCATCTCCTGTCGGCAGCAGAAGTGAGTTGTATTGCAAGAAGTCAAGGCGTGACTGTGACGCCCAGTCATCTACAAGAAGCGCTGAGCAAGACGGGTTGTTAGATTGGGTCGGAGATGGCACCGAGCTTGTAGGGGCCTGCGTAACCGTAGTAATCGTAGTAACTGTGAGGTTGATGTCAGCAATAAGCGGGTTGATGTCCGAACTGATCCCAACCCGGCTAATTATCACTCACAAGTCGACGTTGCTGATGACCCCTGAGCACAGACAAATGAGATCTTGTCAAGCTGCCATTCCTGGGTAGACGAAAACGAACCAACGACAAACGACAAGGCGGCATTGAGATTTCCGGCTGCAAAGTTACTCAATGGGATGCGCAGCGTCTGCCAGCCGCCGGTTAGACCTGTGACTCTGAAAGACGTTTTTAAACTAGTCGTCGCTGAGCAGCTTGAGGCTGAGTTCAGCTCAGTTGTGAAGGATGCACCTGACACTGGTGCTTTGATGTCAAGCTGGACGTGTGTGTACAAGTCGGTCTGCAATGCTTGGCAAGGGAACGTTTCGTAGTAGTAAGCTCCGCTTTTCGGAGTGAAGCTTAGGATGCCACCAGCCGCAGAGATGCTGGTCATGCTCGCATCATCTATTGAACATGATGTTGGTCATTTGAGGCTCTTGGACAGCTATGGTGTGGAGATTCATTGGCGGCACCATCAGAATTGTCTGCCACTTCCGATGAATTTGTGGAATCTTACCTGAAGTCCATGAACCAAGATTATTTCTGTTCGTTGTGGACGAGCTGGAGAAATCGTCCACGAGGAGATCAGATGTGCAGGCGGCAGCAACAGCAGCCACTACCCCGTAGGCCCCAGCCAAGATGCTGTGAGCCTTGAATTGAACCATCTTGTGCGAATCTCTCAGCTTCTGGCTTGAGTTTTTAGTAACGAATGTATGAATGGGCGTCTTTGGCAAACCCCTGTCCACCAGATGAGCTGACGGACAAGAGTTGCGGCAACCGGAGGAGCATCTTCATTCTATATGCAAATTAGAACACAGTCAACATGCCGAATTTTCGCGTTGAGTTGCGCCAGGCTCTTGGCCGCAGAAGCCCAGGTTGCGTGTGGTTCGATCCAACTACACTCAGCTGAGTATCCATGCAACCCGGGCATAGAGGATGCCACTATGCAGTAGCATAGATGCGGGCTGTGGCGTCACTCATGCGTTTTCCTCAGGTCCGCTAGAAAACGTTGACCTCTCACAATGGAACTTGGCGGTCGCCAAATGTTCAATGTTTCCCCCGCTCGCGGGCCGGGCCAGGGGGGCTGAATACGGAGAGGCATTGGTCGAGTGGATGGCGTTTTCAAGCCCCCGCCGCAGCGCATTATACCCCAGACTCCGACCCATCGGTGTTGTGCATTCTTCCATTGGAAGTCCGGGCCGGCGGTCCAAGGTTGTATTAACTGCCTCTCAAGGCTCTATCTGTACTCACAATCTTGTGCGTTAATGGTCAGTCTCACCAACCTGTTGTCAATGTGGAGTCGGTGAGCCTCCAAGCTTATGTGAGCATGCCAGGGCGCTAGCAAGCAATAGTCTTGCAATACGATGCTTGGCGCACCCAAAAGTGGTGGGATTTCCATTCGGTGGACAAAGTCATCGGGGACGAAAGGAGGACACATAACAACGCGTGATGTGATGTGTTTTCGTAATTGTGCGACAAGCAAACTCTTCACGCTTCATCGGAACAGAGTCGAAAAAGAAAATGAAGCGGCGCTGTTCCGTCAAACAAAAGTAGACAGTATTTAAGGCGCAAATTCGGATCAGCAAAAACGCTTTTAGCTTCCTATTCAGGAAGGTGGCGATGCCGACTAACAGCGTTCGGTCTTGGTTTACTGCGGGGGCTTGAACCTAAGGTCTTCAATGGCATTCTTTTCATACTTTAGGCAAGTATTGAGATATATCAGTTAACCCATGTGACTTGAATCATATTGAAAAGAAACAGGCTAATATATGAAAGACTGGTCGAGACTGTCGGATACCTAATACGTTGAGTTTGAATGTCATCACCAGCAGTCTTGAAGAGCCAAGCGACAGTGTTGTATCAGCAGCACAACGCCAGGGCTTCTAGAAATGCTTGTTGCGACCAGAGAACACCAGTACATCGCCAGTCTCATCATCGCTACCGCCGTCTTCTCCGTGAGCAACGACGCTATGAGTGTCTTCAACGTTGCTCCAAGTACTCTCCAAAGCAGACGGGTGAACGCGCGGCTGCACGTGAGACGAGATGGACAGACCTCCGATCCGAGACGACAGGTCATCCAGGGTGACTGAGATGCCAGTAAGCGACTGACATGTTGGCATCGACGAGTACGTGTCAGAATCGAATCTCTTCCTCACACACACTTTCTCCCTAAGCGCAGTGAGGGCATCTTCGCGGACCTTAACCAAAACCGCATCAACCATCTTGTCTTTATATCGCGAGCCTTCTCCCTCCACCAGAGCATCGGGAACAGTCCAATTTCGGTATACGTTGCGGTGAGGCGAGCGAACTCTGACGCCGCTACTGTGAGCAGCGAAATAGTACTCACAGAGTCGACAGGTGGGCTTGCTGCAACCGATGTATTTGTTACCCTCGTAAAAAGGGATGGAGTGCATGTCCTCTGCAAACTGTTTGCGTAGCCAGTCGAGAAGAAGGACCTCGCTGTGCACAATCGGTCGGAAACCTCTTGGATTGGATTTGCAGCACTGAGTCGCGATTAGCTCATCGAGCTTGCACACTTGGAGCTCGTCCGCGTATCGGCTATAAGTCTCAATCATCCCCGCATCTCCCGTCATTCGCGGTATCAAATCATGTGCAGAGCGGACTGTTTGTCGTTGTAAAGGACCGAGGCCGGCCTGGAATGCGTTCATCGGGTTGGGCAGTGGCCTGCTCGAGGCGATAAACTTGATCCTGATGCCGTCAACGTCGAAAAGCTCTGGGTGACGCCTTCGTGCCACGAAGATAGTCTGAGTCGCTCTCAGGTAAGAGACAAGGCGACCGATGAAATGTTGCAGTTCAGCCCAATGTGGTGACTCGTCAAACCTTCCCAGTTTCCCTCTGTCGACGATGGAATGGTAGATCGGTGATTGTCGTAGGGCTGCAGCTGCCCGGACAAGTGCTTCGTCGTCACGCGAGCTTTTTTCTGCGACTGATAGATTAGTCGAGCGAAACTCACCAAGACTCTGACTATAGAGAGGTAAGATCATTACCTGGAGGAGAAATGTTTCTAGCCGAGATTGTTGATATGTCGGCCACGCTTTGGAGCCTCAGCAATGCTTGTTTGACCGTAATATCTCCAAGGGGCGTTAGAACAGCTAGTTGTCTCTGAAGTTAAAGACTCACCATGCACAGACCCACGTCTATCGCAATCTTCAATGCATTGCGTGAGCCCTTGAACCAGACCAATGCGGTAGCACTGGACTCGCTCGTGATTGAAGGCCAAAATCTTTTCCAGTACGTGGCTGGCCGGCTTCGAAGTGGCGTCTTCCATAAAAACAGATGAACTTGCACTTGTTTGACTCAAATACTCAAAGAGATCCAGAAGAAATGTCTCTGCGTCCTTGATCTCCTTGGGAGATCTCTGGTTGGATGCAAAGGTATAGACCAAACAGTCAGGTAACTGGATGATGGCCATAGATGTGACAGTTTCGCCTCCACGTCGATTGTCGCAAATCTGCGCCAGCTTATTCATGAGGCATTCTTGGGTCATTCTGTAATTATCGCCTGGTTCAGAAACATCGCTCGGAGCTTTGTTTGGTTGTTGCCCATTGCGCGAACAAGCCTGCATCAGACTTGAAAGAAGTATCAAAGCTTCGTAGAATCTGTTCAGCCTTTTGCAGAGCTCAAGACTGATGGGGTGATCCAGGCCGTCGGCCGTCACCATCTCTGTCAATGCAGTATCAAATTAGTCGAAGCTTTCACAAGAATTGGGATGACAACATCTCACTGCGCCCCGATCCCCTAGCAGGACTCCCCGTCGTGGATTTCTCTTTGGCCATTTGAATGAACCTGAGAAAAGGACCCTAATCGAATTCGAATGGTACCTTGCCAAGAACGTAGGTACTTCGCAGTATGTCAAGTGAGGAGCTGGCTATGTGCGCTGTCCGCACCACTTAAACATGAACGACGCGTAAACTTCTTTTGAATTCGAGGCAGTCTTGGTTGTTTAAGCAAAGTACACAAGATTTCACGCATGGCACCCAAAGCAGCATTCAAAGCGATCACGGCGGCCCGAGGCGGACAAACATAGCCGAGTTTGCGCAAAACTTCAGTGGAAAAAAGAGTCGGAAAAGGAAGTCTAGCGCGCATATGCGTTAGTCGCCAACTCGCAACCCGGGTTGTTGGCCTTACCAACACACCCCACGGATTTGCCAACAGCTATCTGTTCAACTTGCAGCCACACCCATTGATTTGCAGTCACTAGTGTGCAGCTGATTGCACGAAAAGTGGGAGGCCGCGGAGGCCAACAATCGAGGTTCTTAGCAATGGTTGGTCCTAAAGTTCACATGCCACATGTCGGGTCTTGCTGTTGAACCATGATGCCATTCGAGCCAGGAGGAGCTACTTCTAATGCCCAAGGCTGGTACAATTCTTCGAGGCATATTACAAGGCATCCTCATGTCACCCCGAATATATTCTTTTGGATCTAGTTAGGCAGCAAACTGGTCGCCTGAATGTTCCAACAACTTTGAGGCGTCAGTAGAGCCTACCACTCCATGCTAATTGGTCAAGGTGCTCGTGGGGATGGTTGGCCTCCCGCATCCTGGCCTGCAACTGGCTGCAAAGTACATTAGCCCCATCTCATCAAGCCATCCGATCGCGACAGGTTCACCGAATTCTATCTCCACCAAGACGACATGCGTTGGACTGATAGCCATTGCTCCAGCCAATCTTGGCAGTATGCACGAGTAGTGTCGCTTGGGTCGAATGTCGGGCGACGAATGATTCGCTACTGGGGAGAGTAGGTAACGAGCATGTCAAGAGAAGTTGGAAGAAAAAGAAAGAAGTGTAAGAACCGAGTTCTTTTGATCAAGCAGTTCGAATTTACATAGATATTCGTTCTTTGAAAGAGGGAAATACTTTAAAGAGGCCTCGATTTCTTGTCAAATTTACCACAGATAGTATTCTTCACACTTTCTTGTTGATTCTAATGAGTTGAGCGCAGTCTTCTTCTCCTGACATAGTACTTCATGAGCACCATCCATCGCTCTATCATCTCAATCTGTTTGAGAAGACTGATATCTGTCAAAAATATATACCTGTATTAGGAAAGATGTGAGTACTGACACGTTCTCACAACGTTTCTTTGAATCAGGTGTCAATCTCATGGTTCCAGTCAAGGATATTTACCGCTGTGGAACCGCGGAAACGCTGCAGGAGGCCTGCGCTAACGACACCTCGTCAGCTTGGACTCAATATTGTCCCCCGAACAAGAATTGTTTTGTTTTGGAAATCTGAGCATCATTTGGGGCATCAAGAGGTATGTTATCTTCGAGAAGTCAAGGCAGCGCTGCAGCGGGTGGTTAATAAAGTTTGCTCTGGCTCACCTACAGAGATACGAAACAGAGAGCCAATAGAATCATCTGAAGACTGGATAGTGCCTCAAGAGAACAAGCTAAAGTTCAAATACTGTCATGCGTCGGGAGTCTCAACACCACGGAACCCCTCGGGCAACCCACGACTATTCTGGGGCCAATGAGCCATGGGGTTGGCTACCAACTACAGGTGGTTACATAAACAATGTCTACGGCCCTACTTCTGACGATCTCATCGACCCTTCACTGTTATCTCACACACAAACGAGCTCATTCAGCCCAGACTATTACGCCGCCCAATCTGATTATCAGTCTTCTGAAACCGCATCTCA